ATATATATACATACATATACATATACATATATATATACATACATATACATATACATATATATACATATACATACATATATATATATACATATATATACATATATATACATATATATATATATATTGATGGTAGTATTTTTAAAAAAAATTAATTGACTGAAAGGTTTCAAAGATTTATAATCAATTAAAATTATTAATTTAAGAAAAAAATACAAATACATTAAATTATATTTAAGTGATGTTTTAATCTAAGCAATAAGATTTAAATCTTGCCCCAACATTTAACATCCTATGACTGTGTGATTAGAGTTGTCAAAACGACTCTTTATACGCGAAGAGCTCGTGTTCGGCTCGCTAAGCAAAGGAGCTGAACACGAACACACCTTTCGTTGTTCTCGAACAGCTCATGTTCGGCTCGTTAAGAATCTCTTGTTCGATTCGTTCGCTATGTTAACAAGCCAAACACGAACATCGATATATGAGCGAGCCTAACACAAACGAGGATTTATTCGTTCATGTTTGACTCGTTTTGACTCTAAATATTACTTTTATATATATATATATATATAAACTTGATGAGTAGTATTTCCAGCCAAAACGAGCCGAACATAAAAAAATAAAAAATATATTAAATTTTATTTAAGTGATGTTTTAATCTAAGCAATAAGATTTAAATCTTGCCCCAACACTTAACATCCTATGACTGTGCGATTAGAGTTGTCAAAACGACTCTTTATTCGCGAAGAGCTCGTGTTCGACTCGCTAAGCAAATGAGGTGAACACGAACACACCTTTTGTATTTTAAATATAAACGAGTCAAACTCTAGTAGTGATATTTTTTAACAATGCGAACACGAGCTAAGCCCGAGCTCGCTCCTATTTGGCTCATTTACACCCCAACTCGCTGGAGGAACAATAAATTCAAAACTAACGACTGACAAGTTGTCAAACATTATTCTTGACTATGGTTGCAACCATATTTCCAGGAAACGCATACGGTATTTTGCAACCTACGCCCCAGTCTCGAGAAAAGCAGAGCAGCTCTGACACCTCACTCTGAGCGTAGTAGATCTGAGGGGAACTCGATTTAACTTCTTTTATCATAGGCTACGGTCGTCAAGCTGAAGCTTCGACTATCAACCTCGAATATGTCAAAAAATCCTGGATGAATTTTCTTTAACCTCTTCTATACAAGTTACAGTCATCGAGCATAAACTTCGACTAACAACCTCAAAAAAGTCAATCATCTTCAGTGGATTTCATATGATTTGTCCATTATGGGTTAACGCCGTCGAGCATCTTCGACTATAAAACCCAAAAGAGGTCCTACTTTATTAGTGAATCCTTCTTTCAACATTACTCCAACATAGAGTACAATAATCATACAAACACACTTTGACTGATAGCTTGGGAAAAGTCGAACATTCGCAGTGGAAGAAAAATGTATCCACCGGCACTTTTAGAAGTTAAACCTATGATTCAAGATTTTATGGGAAGATACAGTACCCCTGGAAGTTGAGCCCAAGAGGTAAGACATGATAGGAAACTATCATGCCCTTAAAAATCGAGCCAAAGTGACAATACTTTAGGGGAAGATACTGTGCTCATTGAAATCAAGCCAAAGGCAACTCAATGAGATGATAAGATACCCCTAAAAGTCGAGCCTAAGAGGCAAAAACTCGGTGAGAAGCTACCATACCCCTAAAAAACGAGCTCAACAAACAAGTCCTGACGAGAAACTTGTAGTGGACACTCTTTTCACTTGAAAGACTCTAGTATAAAAAGTGGTTGACATATCTCCACTTAAATACCTCTCAAGTCAACAAGTATTTGAAGACACATGTATAATAAAGACCTCTTATGATTGTAAATGTGAGGAGTTAGAAGTACAATAGATACAAGTGCATAAGAATTACACGCTGCATGTAAATTACCCAAAAAACCAAATATAGAACTCGAAGATGGGGCCCACGTAATCGTCGTTCGTTCTCGAATCTGGTCTCAGCCTCCACCTCTCCGGCGAGAAAACCCCCAGTCCGGCAATTAAAGGTAAAAGAGTGGGAGGGAAGAACAAAAGCTATCAGTAATCATCTTCTCTCCTTTGCCACATAAATAGCGCGATTAAACCTAGAAATTCTAATCGGCGGAGCACGACGGCACTTTCTTCCCGGGGAACTGAGCTCCCCATTCCCGATTGCGGCAGGAGATGAGTCCATCATCGGTAATCTCCGTCGGGATCTTCCTTCTCACCCCTTCCCCTACCCAATGTCTCGTGATTCAGCAGACGGGTAGTTAGGGTTTCTAGCACCTTTCATGGCGTCCGAGGAGCTGCGTCTTGTCCAGCCGCAGAGGATGGAGAACGGATCGAGCTCCCGGATGGCGTTCCGCGAAGACTCGATCCGCTTTCCGATCGCGGGAGGCTGCGTAGACCACCGGAAGTCTCTCCCTGCTTGCGGCTTCGTTATGGAGGGTAACAAGTTGTTCCCCAACGACAAGGGGGAGGCACGGTTGTTTCAGAATCAGGAGGCGGCCTTACGTCGGAGCCTGTACGGTACGCCGGGGCGGATTGAGCGGGATGAGGGGAATGCCCATAGTCGAGGCTGGAATGTTGAAGGCAATGATGGTTCGGGGAGCCGTGGAGATGGATATGATGGGGACGGGGATGGGAATGGGGATGGGGATGGGGATGGGGATGAGGATGATGGTGAAGCGGATGATGGTGTTGAGGATGATGAACTCGATGAAGGTGATGGCGAGGTTGACGGCTTGGTTTGTGCTGATCTGGGCAATGCTAATAAGAATAACAACAATAGCAGTGGTAGTGTCCAGAGTAGTTCTGAGAAGATCTGCACTGACAAGGCAAACGTGCAGGAACACCATTCTTTTTTTGGTGAGAAGAGGGGAATTCTTGATGCTGATTTTATTGAAGCTCTGCTGTTTTTATTTTTCATGATTATTCTGTGTGTTTTAGGGCTGAGCAGAACAGTTTTGACTAAATGTGGGAATGAGATGAGGGAAAATTCAGGTGAGCAGCATGACCATTGTGAAGGAGGGAATAACTATGAGAATGCAATAACTGTGGTAGAGCCTGAGCTCTACTGCAGCCAGATTTTTCATGGGGGAGATGGGTCTACTGCAAACCAGAAGGCTTTAAGAGGAGATAATGGATATGGCTTCAATGGCAGAAGGGAATCTAGTTTTCCTCTTTATTCAGGAGAATCTCTCCGAGCACACCTTTCAGATCCTGTTACGTGAGTTTGAGTTGGAACCCTTTTTGCCTAATAGATTTTTTGATGTCTCATATATTTCATGAAAAATATGCAACTTGATTACTGTAATTAGTTTCTATTTAACATACCTTCCTCCCTTACCGTGGCCTATTTGTTTGCTTAAATCAAGTTGTTTTCTAGCGCATTTACATATCAAATTCTGTGTATTAGTATCATTTCCAAAACAGTCAATGCTTTTCTTTCTGTGTTTGATTCAGTATGCTCAGAAGTTACTGCTAAACTATAGTCTGTTGTGGTTTTTATTTTCTCCTCAAGATATTTCATCTTTTTCTCTGTTGCAAGTTATCAGTATTAATCTGAATAAGTTATTGATTTTTATTGATTTAGAAAAAGCTTACGATAAGGTTCCAAGAGATATCCTTTGGAGAGTTCTCGAGAAGAAATGTGTTGATATGACTTATATTCAAGTCATTAAAGATATGTATACTAGAGCTGTTACTTGTGTTCAAACTGAAGGAGGATTGACAAAATATTTTCCTATTTCTGTTGGATTACATCAGGGATCGGCTTTAAGCCCATATCTTTTTGCTTTAGTTATGGATGGTCTTACTGGACATCTACAAGAGGATGTACCTTGGTGTATGCTTTTTGCTGATGATATTCTTCTCGTGGATAAAACGAGAGAAAAAGCCCAGGAAAAACTTGAATTATGGAGGTCTACATTGGAGTCTAAAGGCCTTCGTTTAAGTAGAACTAAAACTGAATACATGGAATGTAATTTTAGTAGTAATAGCTCTAGTGACAGAAGTGTGACTTTGGGTGATCAAATTATTAAAAGGTGTGAACGATTTAGATATCTTGGGTCCGTTGTCCAAAGCGATGGTGATATAGATGGAGATGTTAATAGTAGAATTCAAGTTGGTTGGTTGAAGTGGAGGAATGCTTAGGGCCTTTTGTGTGATAGAAAAGTACCGCTAAGACTGAAAGGAAAATTTTATAAGATGGTGGTGAGACCTGCAATGCTCTATGGCGCTGAATGTTGGCCTTTAAAAGAGAAGCATAATAATAAGTTAAGTGTTGCCGAGATAAGAATGATTAGGTGGATGAGTGGCTTTACACTTAGAGACAAAATGCGGAATGAATATATTCGTGATAGGGTTGGTGTAGCTCCTGTGACAGACAAAATTAGAGAAAGTCGCCTTAGATGGTTTGGTCATATTAAACGTCGACCATTAGATGATCCGATTAGGAGAGTAGATGTTTTAAATTCGACTTGTGTTAAGAAAAACAGAGGTAGACCTAGGAAGACTTGGGCTTATTGTATTAAAAATGATCTTAATTTACTAAAACTAAATGAAAAGAAAAAGGATTCATGTAGCCGACCCCACGTAGTGGGATTAAGGCTCTGTTGTTGTTGTTGTATTATTCTAGGCTAAGAGTTTTCACTTTGTCAGGATGAATCCATTCACTATTGCTTTCAAGATCTTGTGGAGATAACATCAAGCACATTCTAACTTTTCTTTTTATAAATTCCTTAAATATTAAAAATGAATCTAGTTTTAAATTTCCGATTGAGTACCTCAAGATGTTTGTATTCTTAAATGTTTCACAGGATGTGGTTTATTTCACAAAATAGGCTTCATGTGGCAAATTACAATTGTGCTACACGAAATAAAGTCATGAAGTGGGTGCATTATTCAATAGTTGGATCAGGAATTTCTAATGTGTTTCAAATGAATTAAAATTGCGAAATAGAAGGTTTTTGAAGAGCAATGCAATTGAAACACATAACAAAATGGGACCATAGTTATGATTGTTTCTTAAAAGAAGAAGATATGCGTTATTTTTTCATCATTTTAATTTAATATTGAATGGATCAATATTAGGTGCATCTTTTGTTAGAAATCATGAAAAATTACTCCTTTGCTTGCTTCATCTCGTTGCTAGTACTAGCATATCTATGTAATGATGAGTGAAGAGAGCAATAAAGAAGATATCCTCGACAATGAGATTATATTACAAAAATTAATACTATGGATAACTATCTAATCACATTTGATAATATCAATGTTATAACATATTTAATCATAGTAATTCTAATAACTCTAACTTCTTTGCCCAACTGTTTTTCCTTTATTTTGAAACGCACAGGCTTCTCTATAGGAATCTGCTTTTTGATGATTTCTTGGAGGCATGAATGTTAGCAGCATTATTCATTTGGGTACATATGAACTTTTCTTTTAACCTCAAGTTCATGTTGCCCTGAGCATGCTTTTGCTGGTCTTGCAATGTTTTGAGATTTGCACAATTTATTTGTTTCCAAGTTATTTTTTATTCTTTGGCACTTAAATTTCTATTGCTTCTTTACACAACAACTGAAAGAAAAATGCTTTTCTTATTGTTTATTTTTTCTCTATCCAGCGGTTCCCTCATGGATGATGCGATAATCTTAGCTTGCGGGCATTCCTTTGGAAGCGGTGGAATGCAACATGTTCAGCGAATTGTAATGCAGATTGCGCTTTCTTCATTTTCATTTTTAGCGATTATGCTGATTTACACAAGAAAAAAAGATACTGCTTTCTTGCGCCTGTCTTAAATATGTACCTACATTGTTTCTTTAGATAAGTAGTTAAATGCTTTCAATAGATTGTACTTTAGTTCTACCATTTTTTTTTCTATTTAGTGTTTTTGCTTAAGAGGAGATCCTAATTATGGTAGTCCGTCAGTATCAATCTTATGCTGCTGATATTTTGGAGTCTATATACTGTCCAAAATAAAATTCTCAAGCAGGTATGTAAGTACAATATTGTTAATTATATTTTCATGCTATGGTTTAGAGAATTAAATATGTTTAAAACTAGTATATAAGTTTTAAGAGCCTATTGAGACGTAAAGGTGCATACAAAATTTAATTGATGCGGGCTTATATAAATAACAGCATTGTGCTTCCAGGCTTATGATTTTTTTTATTCAAAGCATACACAAAAGATAAATTCTATCAGAATAGGCTCTGACACAAATATCAGAGCCCTTTAATATATTTTTTAAAATTCACATATATTTTATGAATATTTTCGGGCAATGGAATTTTAGTTTTAGTGAAACAAACTCTTTTGTAATGTTTTCATATATTTAATTATTGTTAATCTTTTGGGCTATATTTATGATGTGACAAAAAATGCTTTACTTCCCAATTCACAGTCAAAAAGAAATCTTCAAGTCTATTAGATGGATGATAATGGATGATGCATGACGCATGTTGTCAATCAATTTGCTTGAGACTTTTTTTGATTTTTGATACCCTAGCATTATTCTTATGATATTGAAGCTTTGAATATCATGGCTGCAATGTTAAACTAAATCAATTTAAAGCAACGGAAAATTTAACAAGTAGAAAGGATATCATAAATAAATGGATTTTAGGGAAGAATGTGAAAGATTAGCAATATTAATATGATCTAAGAGATGATAAGTTATGTTTTTGATAGACTGTTGTCTATCTGAGCACAAATAGTATCATATTAGATTCAAATTTAACTGAAGGCTGAGAAATGATTAAATTGTGCAAAGATGGCAGTCATGATTGTTGCTATTGTTATATGTCACCTGAATACATAAAGTAAACGATAAGGAGGTTCTATGGATATAGGGAAACTATAAAATCTGCCTACCTCAATCCTTCATCATGAGTTATTGTATTACTTAGGTTTATTTAATTTGGCATATTTATATGTTTATTATTAATTGTTTAAATGCCATTTTTTATTTATCATTAGTTTGTTTGTTTTTTTTTTCATTTGTTCAAGAGTAATTTGTTTTTTCATTTCATTGGGATCGAATTAAAAGAGTTTTGTTTCATTCAACCAATATTTTAATTTGTTCAAATTAGTTATTGATCATGATGTCCTGAGCTTTTAGAGGTATATTTTTCAGAGCTTAGTGTTTTTAAGAATTTGTGATGAAGCTTTTGCTAAGATTTTGGGCGAGTGTTTTTCTCTTCATCTTCTCCTTATTGGGATGTATTTCATTTCTATCCTCTTCTCAATATGGATTTCCCATTCATCTATCTTTTTTGAGATAAATTTTACTAGCTTCATAATACAGCCATAAATCTCCCATTATTCTGCAAATAACATTTTAACTTTTGTAATGTTCTTTGTAGCTTAGTAGCTACGATGCAATGCGTGCCGTCTACCTTAATCCTTTTGTTTCATTTTTTTTTAAGATTATTCATTGCAATTTATTTATAAATTAATTAGTAACAATTAAAATGTCAATTAACATTTAGGAATACAACAATGACAACAATAACAACAATAACAACAACAACATCAACAACAATAAATATTTATCCCATTGTGTGTGGTCGGGTACATGAATCCTTTTTTTCTCAATTGAGTCCTATTGAGTGTCATGTTTTCATTTAAGTCTAATAGATTAAGATAATTTTTTATGTAATATGCCAAAGCATTTTTAGGTATACCTCTGCCATTCTTAACATAAGTCAAATCTAAAACATCTATTCTCCTAATCAAATTATTAGATGGTCGACAGTTAATATAACCAAACCATCTAAGACGACTCTCTCTAATTTTATTTGCCGCTGGAGCTATACAACTCTTTCATGGATAGATTTGTTTCGCATTTTGTCTATAAGTATCAAGCTACTCATCCATGTAAGCATTCTCATCCCAGCAATATTTAACTTTCTTTTATGCTTTTCTTTTAAGGGCCAACACTACACCATAAAGCATTGCATGTCTCACTACCAACTTATAATAATTTCCTTCAATTCTAAATGGTACTTTTCTATCACACAATAGGCCTGATGCATTCCTCCACTTCAACCAAGCAACCTAAATTCTACTTATAACGTCCCCATCTATATCAACATCACTTTGAACGATAGACCCGAGATATTTAAAATGTTCACACCTTTTAATGATTTGAACACCCATAGTTACAACTATGCCACTGGGGCTACTATTATTAAAATTACATTTCATGTATTCAGCTGTAGATCTACTCAAACGAAGGCCTTTTAGACTCCAATGTAGATCTCCGTATGTCAAGTTTTTTCTAAACTTTTTCTCTAGTTTTATCCACAAGAAGGATATCATAAGCGAAAAACCAGTTGCCATTTAGGAATAATTTTTTAATTTTTTAAAGGACAATTTTGTGTTCGCAATAAAGTCTATTATTATAAATAATACTTCTGAGTTATGCCATATAGAGGGTTGGGCAAGAAATTGATGTATTTATATGGTTGACTATAAAATGATGAAAGGGCTTCTTTTGGCATGCCTGACAATCACATTTGTCTTATCCTCTGTCGGCACTATTTTGGGTTCGGGAGTTGCCCGTTGGAAGTTGTCGGTCGCCGAAATCGAAATCCCGTCACCCGTTTCAGAAAGACATTTAATTTATACATTTATACATATATATATATATCCCTGTATCTATCCTGAAAGATAAACATAAGACTTGAGGATGTGACTCGTTCATGTAAACTAAGAAATATATGACATCTGTTTGGTCTGTGAAATCATTTTATTTGCCGACAAGTTTCCTTATTTAATACGAAGAATTAAATAGGGTTTATATTAAGCTGGGTTCGGAAACGCTTCTTATAAGGGCAAGCCCCTATAGTTAATTACATCATAGATAAATGAAGTTACCTATGAATACTCTCGATAAAAGTCAAGAAAAATTACCTTCAAGGAGGGATAAAATTTTTCAACGAGATAGGATAAAAAGGTGTGAAAGGAGAATAAATCAATTAGGAACATTTTGTTGTAAAGTTCAAAGGAAGAAGAACTAGGGGATGTCATAGATCCGAAGGAGAATCTCAGTGACTTCCCAAGCTACCTATGGTTTGACTTCAATTTAGAGGAGAAATTATAAAGCTTTTCATCCTGCAAATTATTGTTAGTTAGGACTTACATCCGTGTGAAACAATCACACGAATAACCTGGAAGATATGATAATTTAGGTCGTAACGAATGATAACCTCGGAATCCTAAGACGAGTTAGGACTTATATTGTGTAACAGAGTTATACAAAAACCTAAATATAAGATTGAGGATTTATGTCACACTAGGCGGATAACCTCGAAATTCTATAGATAGTTGTTTAATTATAAGGAATGATTTAACTGGTGTAAACATGTTCTGCTGTTGAAGATGGTCGTGCTGTCCACAATGCTAGCTCCAAGCTTCTCGACGCAACACCTTCGAGTTCGATGTTAGTTCTATGTGTACATGCAATTGTCGAGTCAACGATCTGCTGCTTGGTACCTCCTATGAAACTAACTACTGACCCCCTATTCTAAGGTATAGTGTGTAAGAGAAATAATAGCAGATATGGATATAATGACATAATTTAAAAAGGAGCTAGCATGCATTGTATCAACAAAAGAATTATCACCTGAAAAAAAAGAACTACCAAGAATTATCACCTGAAAAACTCAAGAAAGAGCGACAAATGACCCACGATGATAGAATACTCGAGAAAATCGACAAATGATTTACAACGGAAATCTCGAAGCAACGACAACAAATGACGACTTAAAGAAAGTTACCGAAAACGCGGGAATATCCCGGAAAAAGACCACTAGTGCTTTACCAAAAGCTCAAGTAAAATATCACGAAAAATTCGAAGAGAGAAAACCACAAGCACTTGGGTCGGGGCTAGACTCAGATATTATATATTTGTACTCGAGGGACGTCGAAGGCTACTGTCGGTCACTCGAATGTATAGAACCCGCCACTCAACTAGAAGAGTGTCCTACTAAACCTAACTTAGGAGGGTACTCCTTAGCCTGGTACTGGTGATTGAGAAGTGGACAATCAAATTTAAATTTAAAATATATATTTTGGCATGCATATAGATTTCAGACATACAAAAGGAAGTTGTATCAATTTTGTGGTAAAAACATTTTTTTAATAAAAATTGTATCTACTCTTATCAAGTTTGTTCTTATTAGTTTTGAAAATTATAGTTGTCCACGAGTCGATCACATCGTCGGGCGTAGGACCGCCAAAATCTAAGAAGGTACGGGTCCCTCGCTAGTCTTGTGTCGGTGAATGATACTATCATCCTACGTTCATCAGGTCCCAGGATTGAGTCCTGATGTCGTAGGATGAAATATCATTCCGCTCTACCACCGGTGTGCTTTTGTCATTACCGCCCTAAGCCCCAAAAACAAAATCGATCTACTTGCGACTTTGCTTGATGGTTTCATATATAACAAAAGACATATATGAGAACTTATGTGTCAGACATAAGCACCGAAAACCGAACTAAGAAACAAGGAAAAAAGAATAAAAATGAAGATGAGAGAGAGGAGGAACTGATCCACTCAAAAGATCGAAAGGCGAATGGTGAATCAGTCCTCAGAACTGTGACGAAAAGACCTGAAAAGGAGGGCCCAAGATCATTGAATCAAACAAAAAAGAAAATCATTTTCTCAAATTTTATAAATGGATCAACCCAAGAAGGGTA